CTCGGGGACAGCACCGGGCCTTTCGGTACTCACCGCCTGCTCTGGGGGTCTCCACTCAACATCAGGGAATTCAGCCGTCGGAGAGTCAGCGCTGTCCTTAGCCCAACGTCTCCTTAGCTGATCTATGTGGCGCCGCCATACTCGACCGTCAGCCAACTGTACCACATACATGCGAGTACCCACAGAGTCGGATATTACCCCAGGAAGCCATAAGTGACCATTAGCATAATTCCGGGCGAAAACCTTGTCTCCTTTTTCAAACATGCGCACCTTCGGTTGCGCCGTGGTACGCTCGGATTGCTCTTCAGTGAGGTCTGGGTGCATTCGGTTCAAACGGGTCGTGAGTCTCCGCCCCATTAACAATTCGGCCGGACTACGGCCTGTAGCACTACAGGGGGTGGTGTGCTGCAGCAAAAGAAAGGAGCCCAGCCTCTGGCTCCAGTCCCCTTCGTCCATTTTACCCAGGGCCTCTTTGGCCGTCCTGACCATCCGTTCGGCTTGGCCATTAGATGCCGGATGGAAAGGGGCCGAAGTCATTTGGCGTATGCCATTACTCGTGAGGAAGAGCCTAAATTCCTCAGACACAAATTGAGGCCCGTTGTCACTGACGATGACGTCAGGCAACCCGTGGGTGGCAAAAAGTCGGCGGAGCGCATGGATCACAGCAAGTGATGTGGTCGATTTCATATGCACGACCTCCAGCCATTTGGACATAGCGTCCACCACAATTAGGAACATTTGCCCTTGGAGAGGGCCAGCAAAATCTATATGCAATCTGGCCCAGGGTTTACCAGATGACTCCCAGCCTTGGGGTGTAGCTTGTGGGGGATCGGGTCTGACTTGCTGGCATTTGGGACACCCTCGTACCCATTCTTCGATCTCTTTGTCCAGCCCCGGCCACCAGACATACCCTCTGGCCAACGCTTTGGTGTGTACCATACCGGGGTGACCCTCGTGCAGCGACTCTAACACTCTCGTCCTGAGTTTGTCAGGAACCACCACCCTGTTCCCCCATAATACACAGCCCTTAGAAATGGATAGTTCATTTTGACGGCTTTTGTAAGGGCCGAACTCCGGTTCAACGCTTCCAACCGGCCACCCCCTCCAAACCCAGTTTAATACTCGGGACAGCACGCTATCCTTGGCCGTGTGTGCTGCAATGTCCCTGGATGATACCGGGGGTCGAGGAAGCTCCTCAATTGCCAAGACCTCACAGGCGGGGGCAGGGTCTGCGCCAATGTCCGGCACCGGGCACCGGCTGAGGGCATCCGCATGCCCAATCGCTTTCCCAGGCCGGTGCTCTAAGTCAAAATCATAAGCCTGCAAAAATATCGCCCATCTAAGCATGCGTGGGGACATGATGTTTGGCAATTGCTTATCGGGCGCAAAAATCCCCAGTAGCGGCTTGTGGTCAGTGACCAGCAAAAATCGTCTGCCAAAAATAAAATCATGGAACTTTTTGACAGCCGCTACCAACGCCAGACCCTCCTTGTCTATCTGGGCATAGTTCCGCTCTGCCGCAGATAGTGATCTAGAATAAAAAGCGATAGGCGCTTCGCTCCCATCAGGCATCAGATGGCTTAAAACTGCGCCTACTCCAAAAGGTGAAGCGTCAGCAGCTAACACCAGGAGCTTGTGTTCATCATAATGCGTGAGTACGGCATTAGATGTCAGCAGCTCCTTGACTCCCACAAAAGCCTTTTCCTCGGCCTGCCCCCACTTCCATTTTGCCTCCTTGTGCAAAAGCGCGTGCAAAGGGGCCGCCACTGATGCCTTATGCGGTAAAAACGCATGATAAAAATTCAGGAGTCCTAAAAAGGATTGGAGCTCCTTCTTACTCACCGGCCTGGGGGCGTTTTGGATTGCAGATACCTTCTCATCCGTGGGGTGGACTCCCTCTGCGTCAATGCGAAACCCCAGGAAGTCCACACTTTCCACCCCGAGCGTGCATTTTGAGCGCTTAACTCTGAGACCGGCATTTTGAAAACGCCTGAGGACCTCTTTAACCCGGTCCAGTAGTTCCTGTTCAGACCCGCCCGCAATCAGCACGTCGTCAAAATAGGGCACTGTGCCAGGTACCCCCCTTAGTAGACGTTCCATGAGGCCCTGAAAAATCCCAGGTGCTACGTTGACCCCGAATTGCAGCCTGTTCACTTTAAAAGCCCCTTGGTGGGTTACAATTGTTTGGGCCTCGGCAGCCTCCGGGGTGACAGGCAACTGCTGGTATGCCTGGGCCAGGTCAAATTTGGCGAAAATCTTGCCACCCCCCAGGGAAGCCAAAATGTGGCTTATTACCGGGACCGGGTACGAATGTTGCTGCAGCGCCTTGTTAATCGTACATTTGTAATCGGCGCATAGTCGTATGGACCCATCTGATTTGACAGGGGTTACGATCGGGGTCTCCCATTTGCTGTATGGTACTGGCTCTAAAACCCCTTGCTCAACTAGTTTGTCAATCTCTTTTTCCACCTTATGTTTGAGAGACACAGGTACTTTCCGATACTTCAACCTAATAGGTTTGACTGACGGATCTAAGTCAAACGCAACCGGGGGGCCCTTGTACCTCCCCAACCCTTCGGCAAATACATCAGGGAACAGGTCGTACAGCATGCCCCATTTATTTTCAGACATCCTGTTAATCCCAGAAATACCAATGCCCAATGGCTCAAACCAATCTAACCCTAGCAGGTTAACCCGGTCTCCCTCTGCAATCAGGAATGACAGTTTAACACATTTCCCCTTATACTCAACAGTAACAGAGTCCCGTCCGGCCAAGGGAATTCGGTTGCCCTGGAAGTCGGACACTCTGGTTCCCGCAGGCTGGAGCCGCCGCCGGCTTCGGTTCGGGAACAACTGGCGCCAGGACGCGGCAGAAATCACCGTCACGGACGATCCTGAGTCCACCTCCATTGTACAGGGTCGGCCGTCGAGGAGTGGAGTCACGGTGATCTTGCCCTGGCTGCTGGTGCGATTTACGGCCGATGCGCTCGACAAGGTCGCCGTCAACTGGCAGCTTGCTTCCGATGCTGAGGAACGGGTCTTGCCTTGGGTGCTGACTGGAGTGCCCCTCTGCGCTGACCGGTTGTTAGTTGAGGGATCCTTCTTTGCTGATCTGCAGACTCTGGCCAGATGACCACGCCGCCCACACGCTCTGCAGTCGACATCACGAGCCCAACAGGAGTCGCGCTGGTGTTTCCCGCCACAACCGGAGCAAGGCTTGACGTTGGTAGTCTTCGCTGGGGTCCGCTTGCCTCGAACCGCGTTGACGTCATCATCCGCGTCTTCGCCCTCGCTGTCTCGTTGAGCGTGTATACTGGGCTCTGCCACCCGCTGGCGGACCTCCTTCGTGGACTTCTCCGCTGCTTCCGCGGCCACGGCCTCTTCGTAGGCCACTGCCCAGGTCAGGGTGGTGCGGGCGAACAGCCTCTGTTGCAGCCTTTCATCTTTGAGACCGCAGACGAGACGGTCTCTGAGGGCTTCCTCCACGTTGTGGAAATTACATGGTCGTGCGGCTTTGCGAAGGGCCGCCACGAAATCTGCGATGGTCTCGCCTCCGGCCTGGTTCCGCTTGTAAAAAGCGTGCCGGCAGGCGATCTCCGACGGTTGTGGAGAATAGTGAGCCTTAAGCTTCTCAGTGATGTCAGCGTAAGTGACAGTCTTTATATCAGTTGGGGCCACCAACGACCTGGCTATGTCGAAGGTCCCCTTCCCGCAGGAACTCAGGAGGCACGCCCGTTTCTTGGCCTCGTCTGTAATGTCGTGTGTCTCCAGATGGAACTCGAACCTGGATAGGTAGGAGTCCCAGTCTTCTGAGGAGGGTTCGAAGCACTCGAACTTCTGGCTTCCAGCCATCGTGGGAGACTTGGGCACCGGAGCTGGTGGCGCCTCCGCCGGATCGGCTGCTGTGCTCTGCTCGCTTTCTTCCGAGTCCGAAGTGTGGATGTCCGCAGGGCTGCCTACCTGCTCTAACATCCCACCTTCGTCGCCAATTGTTAGATCGCGCTAACAAAGGACTCTTAGAGTGATTCAGCAAGTGATTCAGCTTTATTGGAAGTAACGAGCAAGCACTAACTCAGTAAGAAACCAGAACAGAAAACAGTGGGAGCTTATGCTCCTTTTAAACATAACCGGGCTAATGTAGCCACGCCTATTTACAATTAACAACCAATGAGATTGCTTAGTTAAGGACCAATGGGAGTCTTTCCCTCCTAGGGAATGGTATCGTTCTGATTGGTCGCTGTTACGAAGCGACCAATAGGAAGTTCGCTCAAAGGAGCCCTGGTCTGGCTCGAAGCTTAACATAGGAGTCCTATGAGGTGATTCATGTAATCGTTTCAATACATTACAAAAAGCCTGGCAGAAGAGCTCTGTTTTACAGGCCCTGCGGAACTGTAAGAGGTTCTGCAGGGCCTTGATCTCCCCTGGGAGCTCATCCCATCAGGATGGAGCTGCCACTGAGAAGGCCCTGGCCCTGGTTGTCACCAGCTTGGCCTCCTTGAGATTTGGGAGGGCTGGTTGGTTCTGGGCCCCTGAACACAGTGCTCTCTGGGGAACATGTGGGGAAAGGCGGTCCCTCAGAGATGTAGGTCCCTGATCATAAAGGGCTTTAAAGGTAAGAACCAGCACCTTGAAACGAATTTGGTATGCTATCAGCAGCCAGTGCAGTGCCTTGAGCACAGGCTGGATATGGTCCCAAATTGGGAGGCCCATCAACAGCCTGGCCGCAGCGTTTTGCACCAGCTGCAGCTTCTGGATTTGAGACAAGGGCAGCCCCATGTAGAGAGCATTACAGTAGTCCAATCTTGAGGTGACCATCGCGTGGATCACTATTGCCAAGTCGTTGCATTCGAGGAAGGGAACCAACTGCCTGATATTTGTTCAATCAGTTTGAGCTATCAAAGCCTGAAGCTCCAACCCTGTAGAGCCCTGGTACAAGGAAGGATCTCCATTTGCGTAAGACTCAGTTGCTGAGTGGGTCTCTTCTCTGTTTCTTTTCACAGTATGGATGTGAAAGTCTGCTTCATCTACACAGCCAACCCCTCGAGCTACAGCCCTCCCATCGGTGAGTACTGGCTAGACCTCATCAGTGGCAGATATGCTTCTACTCATCCTCTATCCCTATTTGGATGTCCGTAATGTAATTTCAGAGTGAGGGCCTGGGTGTGGTCAGAGCACTGTGACATTTTCTGGAGCGTAGTGGCAGAGTCTGTGGCTTAGCACCAGTCCAGATAGGGGAATTTAATGGGAGCAGCCGGTTCTCTCCAGAGGCAGCTGCATCTCGGCACCCACAGAAGGAGCTTTCTGTCTCTTCTCTCTCACCCTCTTCCCCCCACCCCAACTCACAGCCTCCACTCCTTCCCCCAGCGCTCGAATACACTTTCGATGCCGATACTGACCGGCGACAATTGGGCCAAACTTCCAGAGTCACCTTCCTGGGCCGGAAGATCACAGACCCTGAGCACCAATACTCTGGTGTAGTGGAACTGCCAGCACAGCATGCCCGAGCCTGTGCCAAGGCTACGCTGCAGCTCAAGGTGGGTCCTGCAACGGGGTATGCCGGGAAGCTAAGCAGCGGGACCCCTGGGGCCATTTGAATCCCTGCACTCTTGCAGGGCCGGATCCAGGTATTTTCTAACCCCAAGCAAGGGATACTTACTGCTAGCCTGATTCCATCAGATGTTGGAAGCGGAGCAAAGTCTACCTTTGTTCGTACTTGGATGGGAGACCCCCAAAGAAGTCCAGGATTGCTGTGAAGAAGCAGGCCATAGCAAACCATCTCTGCCCGTCTCTTGCCTTGAAAACCCTGTGGGGGTCAGCTCCGTAAGTCAGCTGCAACTCGACAGCACTCCCAACCTCCGCCATAAGTGAAGCAAGGCTAGGGAGCTGCTTTCTTGCATAAAATGGAATCGGAACATTCAGAGCAGGGCCTCAGATTATCACAGCAGAGGGTGACAAGGGCTGGTTTGGACCCCTTGCCATCGCCTCCTGCTGGAATGCATGGCCACCCTCCTCACTGTGCTGCCCCGAGCGGTCCCCGTGGTGCCTTGACTGGAGAGCCGGCCCTGGTCTGTTATAGTCAGCCAGATGTAGCTTCCCAACCCAACCAGGTGGGAAAGTAGTCATGGAGGAATGAGAGAACTGGCAGCAACAAGCCTTTGCTTGACTCTTAACCCCAGCAGACCCACATGTTCATGGACCACATACTTGGCACATCTTTTTCACCACTGTGTGCCCAAACAAACCATTAGAAATTAGGAAGGTCAGTGGGTCTGCTCTGTACGCTGATAGCATATCGTATCTGACCAGCAGACGGTGATATCGTAGATCATTCCCACATTAAAGCACATCTTTATTTTAATAAATGTAGAGTCTGTTACTGGCCGAGTTGTAATTTTGAGAACCGGAAGGGCGGGTGCTGGCCTCAGAGAGACTCCGAGCCCTTTCTCTGAATGTTCAGCTTTCGTTTTGTCTCAGAAAGCAACTCTTTAGCCTTTTTGCACTTATGGTGGAGACGGAGAGTGCCGCCAAGTCACAGCCGACTCATGCCGACCCCAAAGGGTTTTCAAGGCAAGAGACATTCAGAGGTGGTTTGCCCTCACCTGCCTCTGCGCAGCAACCCTTGACTTCCTTGGTGGTCTGCCATCCAAGTAATAACCAGGGCTGACTCTGCCTAGCTTCCAAGATCTGATGAGATCAGGTGAAAAGTACGCAAACGGAGAGTGATTTCAGCAAAGCGTACTTTATTCTATCCGGAACAAGACAACTTTGGCCGGCTCGCAGGCTGGCTTATATTCCCCGAGAAACCGCCACCCAAAACACACCCCTACTCTTCCCTATAGGTTATTTACAGTGGCCGAGAGTCCCATAGGCTCTCGGCCGGGAACCTAGCCCCCTGATTGGAGCGGGCTAGGATCCGCATAGTCCATTGTCTCTTGGAGTGAAGCTCGACGTTTGTCTCTGGACTTGTCTGGACTGGATACATTACATCAGGCTAGCCGGGGCCATCCGGTTTTACTTACAGGGATTATCAATGTTCCCTCTAAGATGTGGAGTCTTGTGAGCAAGAATCCTACTTTGTGAGCTGCTGGCACTAAAGTTGTGAGGGAGCAATTCGGCTACTGCATAAATTAGTTTGCTCTGGAGCCATCCCTTCCTGGGCTAAAACAAAAATGTGTGAGCCGGAGGCTAAAAAACCATGAGCTAGCTCACACTCAGTTTAGAGGGAACACTGGGGATTATAGATATTACCCAATTGCTCTCAATAGGAAGCACTTCTGTCCTCCACTGAGTGTAAAGGCACTGAGATTATTGAGATTAGGGCCTTGACACATTATGGGTTTTACTTAGAAGATGAAATGACACAGTGTTTCAAGATTGTCATTTCATCAAGAAATCAAGAAATGTACTTTTTTTGCATAGGTTCACAATGGCCTTTCCAGTGTACCCTTAGCACCCTACCCACCACCAAACATTTCTGACTACAGCCTGCTGTTTGGCATGAAATATTGTCAGCTGCATCTTTTGGACCAATTTTGGGAGATATTAGAGAATTGCCCAAGGTGACACAGGGAGGGATCCATGCAAGGGGTGAAATCCCTAACAAAGTACTTTCTGGGAAGGAATGGCATACCTGTATTTTCTCTGTCTAAAACTATGACTTTATTGCAGGACAAAATCCGTGACAAGCTACGCCCCATTGTGGTGGTGGTGAGCTACAACATCAAGCATCCCCGCACCAAGCGCCAGGCCCAAAGTGCCACTCTGGGCCCTCTTACACCTGTGCTGAATCCCATGCCACCACGCACCCAGAAGACAGAGGTAGGCAGCCCACTGGCTAACAACGTTTATTTCTAGTATGAGCTTTCATGAGTCAGAACTCATTTCTTCAGATGCTATGAAGAGGAAATCATACTATTGTCAATCATATCATGTTCCAAATACAGTCAAGCAATCTAAATCAGAAGTATTTCAGCCCTGGAGATTTAGAACACACACCCTTTCTTCAAAAGACTTGTTAAAAAACATACACAACTTTGCTAGGCATTGCTGCAAAACGAACAGGATATTGTTATGGGTATTCTGTTGTTGTTGGTGTTTGTTTTTTTTAAAGGCTCCATGGACACTCCCTTCAGTGGTCAAGAAAAGACCTCTAAAAGACTAGTTTTTAAAATAATGACCTTGATCAGGAGGACGTGAGTGGTGTTAATTCATCACAATGGAAGTTCAACTCACTTTTATCTTTGTTCCTGCAATTGTTGGTTGCTTGGTGCTCTACAGATAGCATTGGTCAGAGGTGATGTGAAAGACCTCTGCCTAAGACCTTGGAGAGCCACCGGCAGTCTGAGTAGACAGTACTGACCTTGATGGACTGATGGTCTGGTTCAGTCTAAGGCAGCTTCATGTGTTCATGTTTATAAAGCACAAAGCACAAACCAACCAGAACATACACATGAAGCTATAATGACATGGGCTGGGAGTGACTAAATTGCTTGCCACAAGCATAGGAGAGGGATTATCCAGGAGATGCCCTGGTGTATGTGGAGAGGGGCTATGGCTCAATGGAAGAGCCTCTGCTTTGCATGCAGAAGTTCCCAGATTCAGCCCCCAGCTTTTCCAGTTAAAAGGACCAGGCGGTGGTGATCTGAAAGACCTCTGCCTGAGACCATGGAGAGTAGCTGCCAGTTGGAGTAGACAATACTGACCTTGTTGGACCAGTGGTCTGATGCAGTATAAGGCAGTGTTTCATGTGCTCATAGGAAGCCACTTTCCACGCACTACTCACACTTAGACACTCTATCAGGAGGTGAGGAGAAATGGCACATTCTCCGTGGCAGAATGTTGAAGTTCATATGATGGGGAAATGCAGAGTCCTGCAAGAGAAGTGTAGTCCTGAGGGGAAACATCTGGATCCCCTGCAACACATGAGCTCAAAAGGAAATTACACAAAACATCTGGAGTGCTCTTGTGTCTGCATGTTCACTCTTCATCTCAGATCCAGTGGACATTGGCACTGTTGATGGATGTGCTTTGGGACTGAGCAGGGGGTTTGTAATCACAGCTTGCTTCAGCTACTGAAACCCTCAGCAAACGTTAATGGGGTCTCCTTAGAGCTAATTGGCCCATCTCCCAGTCATGGGCTACTGTGTGTTCCTGCAGGTGAATTTCCTGAAGCAGGGATGTGGTGAAGACAAGATTTGTCAGAGTAACCTGCAGCTGAGCTACCGGTTCTGTTCTCGCATTGATGATGCTACATTCCATCCCCTGCCCAGGTATGAGCAGGGCAGGGATTCTTCCGGGGGAGGGGGGGGGTAGCATTGGCTTTAGTGCCTGATGTTCATTGAGCACCAACAGTACAGGTGCTGCGCAGAACATACAAATAGCAATGACTGAGTAAAAACACACTTGTTTCCCTCCTGCCCTTGCCTTCTAGTCGAGGTGGAAACAATAGAACATTTTCTTTTTTTGCAGCCCACTTTATAAAGAAATACGCAACACAACATTTCTGTCCCTTGTTGTTAGATCTGCTGTTGTGTCAGACAGGACACGCTTAGATAAACTATTAGCAGATGAAAAACCAGTTATTACTAAAGCAACAGCCAAATTCTGTGCTCAGGTGATTAGAGTACGTAATATATTTTAGTTCTGTTTTTCAGTTCTGAGTTCCAATTTAGATTTTATTCGGAATTCAATTAAATAGTGCCTGTTTTAACTTTTAGGTTTATAATTAAATGGTTTTATGATGTTATCTTATTAACTTTTATATGTATTTTAATTAGCTACTCTGTTATAATTTTATATCTGTCCATCCAGTTGGAGTGTTTTAACATCTGTACCTTCATACTTAAAAATGATTTGCTGTGTGAACTTGTACCTGGTCGTGGACCACAGTAAATTATATATTCACTCGTTCCCCTCACTGGAGTAACTTTGTAATTCCACCTTTCCGGTATCCCTACTCAAACCTGTAAGGTGGATCTGAACCCCTTCTCCAGAACCAGTTCTCATTCGTCCCTCTTGATACTGTTTTACCGGCCTGGTTTGACAGAAGGCAATCTAGTCCAGCATGGAGTTCTCTCTTTGAAGCCCTCCTCGTTTGCAGTGATTCCAGAAGACCAAGAACTTCATAGTAGTCTCTGTTCTTTTCCTCCAGGGATCCCAATGGCTTGGATAAATTTTCCATGAGTGACCAAAAAGTCATAGCCCTTGAGATCCACATCACCAACTATCCCTCAGATGCAGCAGAGCCACAACGGGATGGTGACGATGCCCATGAAGCCATGCTGCTTGTTATCCTGCCACCTACCTTGCCTTATTCTGCTTTACGCCCCTACAACGCTACGGTATACTTTGGAGAGCAGTATGATATAGTGACCTAGAGGGATGCAAAGGAAAGGGCTCATCTTCTGGCATTCGGAACAGTAGTTCCGGGAAAGGGATTTGTGTAGGGTTCTAAGGGAAGCTGAAACTGTGCACTAGGATGTGATCCTGGGAGGTTAGGCTGGCATAGCTGGGTTTGAAAGGTGCTGGAGTACTGGAGTTAGCAGGGGTCGTTTCGGAGAAAAAGAGCTAGGGGAATTCATTAGCATAACTTATCAGCATATGCCACACCCCCTGACATCATAAGGCCCAGCAGTGGAGCTGCAAGGCCGGCGGGAGTGCAAGGAGGCCCCGCCAAGGCCCTCCCTGGCCCCAGGCAGGCAGGGGTGGGGAGAGGCAGGGAGGAAGCAACTTACCCTCCCTCTTCTCCTGCCTCCTCCTGGTTGAATGAGGGCCAGAAGCGGGGCGGCCAGAAGCAGGGGGCGGGGCTTTGTTGTGTGCCCCGCCCCCTGTACCTCACCCGGGGGAACTGCGATCCCCCGCGATCCCCCCCGAATCGACCTCTGGGAGTTAGCAATTCTGGCATTTGGCAGAGGGGATATAGAGGTCTGTTAGAGGTGTGGTTGTTTTTAAGTACAGCACACCGACTGAAAACTGGGTTATATAGACTAGAAGCAGAGACTGATGGAACCACTTCAGTGGCAGAATGTGTGGGGCTGGGAAGTTTCATAGCTTTGCTTGAGGACTCTTGGTAGTGGGAGGAAGAGCATGGCTGTTCCTCCTAGCCAGCAGATAAACAACAGATGAACAATGCCATGGCTATGGTGGCAGTACCACAGAATTGTTTATCCTTGTGTGGGGTGGAATAGTTCCAGGTCCACATGTCCTCAAGTCAAGTACAAAACTGAATGTCTGGTGCAAGCAGTTTGTAAAGAATGGTGGTGAAGGAAAGCCTGAGAACATTGTGGGCAGTAAGGGGTGGCAACGCAGAAGCCAGGGAGGGACAGGCCAAGGTTTCCCCAGGAATTCTGCTGTCGGAACAGCTGTTTATAGTCCACTTAGCCCCAGTTTCCACATCTTTCTGTAGCCCCAGGCCTTGCTAGAGTTTTACACATTCTTTTATAAATGTATTATTTTCAATGTTTTGTTTTGTTTTGGGCCCTGGATAGCCCAGGCAAGCCCAGTCTTGTCAGATCTTGGAACCTAAGCGGGGTTGACTCTGGCAAGTACTTGGATGGGAGACCTCCGTGGAATACCAGATTGGGGGCAGGCCCTATTCAGCCACCTCCCTGAATATCCTCCAGGCCCCCAGTAGGGGGTCAGTCACCAGAGGTTGCCATGACTTCCAGCTGCACCCACATGGACCCACACATGCACATAAGAAAAATACAAAACAAACAAAACAAAACACACAACCCAAAAAAGTTTTGTTTTGGGACTGGGGGGGGGAGGATGCACACAATGTTAGCAGCTCCTTAATCTGTTCTCCTTCTGCCACCTCGTCCTTTGCAGGAGAAGGCCCCATCCTGTATTGTGTCTAACCAGAATGCCTCCCTTGTGGAATGTGAGCTCGGGAACCCCATGAAGCGTGGAGCACAGGTGATACGCCGCCCAACCTCAGCCTCACCATCACGCACATACCATGTTTACACACACAGAGAGAGCTTTTACTTTCTCTCCCTCTTTCCCCTCTCAGGTTCGGTTCTATCTGGTTCTGGGTACCTCTGGCATTACCTTAGAGACCACAGAGCTGGAAGTGCAACTGGAGCTTAGCACGTGAGTCCTGCCTGCCCCCCTCCCCAAGAACAGAGCTTGTTTACGTCAAAGCCAAGCACATTGCAAGACCCCCCAATGTTCCCTCTAAGCTGTGGAGTCTTGTGAGCAGAAATTCTACTTTGTGAGCTCCTGGCATTAAAGTCATGGACGAGCTGTTCGGCTGCTGCAGAAATCAGTTTGCTCTGGAGCCGTCCTTCCTGAGCCAAGACAAAAATGTGTGAGCTGGAGGCTAAAAAACTGTGGGCTAGCTCACACTGACTCAGCTTAGAGGGAACACTGCCCATCACCTGTGCAAGTTCGCTGCGATCCTTTGCAAGATGATCTGACTAGTCCTTAGACCCTAGAGCCATCAAACAGTTGGGGTTTAGCTGCCTATTTGAAGTTCTTTCATTTACATATCTTTGGCCCTCAGCAGGAGATTCTAGAGAGCCATCACGTCAGGGCTTGGTTGGGTGGCTGCAGAGGAAGTTGGGCAGTTTAGAGAGGCAAGCTGGCACAGGATAGTTATCCAGCACTGCCAGAGATTGTCCCCAACAATTTGACCTGTCTGTCTCTTACAGGATCTCAGAGCAGCCTGGGCTGGCCCCTGAGGTCGCACGAGCCCTCGTGGTTATGGAGCTTCCTCTCTCTATCGCTGGGTAAGGACTATCTCTGGACAGTGTTCAAGTTTAGTTTCTGGGCTAAGATACAGATGTTGATTGCTGCAGTGTCAAGAAAGATTCCGCCTCGAGACACAACAGGAACCAGAGGGGCATTTAGGAAACATATACAGAAGAGAAGAAGAAGAGATTGGCTTTATACCCCACCCTTCACTCAGAGTCTCAGAGCAGTTTACAGTCTCCTTTCCCTTCCCCTCCCCACAACAGACACCCTGTGTGGTAGGTGGGGCTGAGAGAGCTCTGAGAGAACTGCCCTTGAGAGAACAGCTCTGAAAGAACTTGTGACTGACCCAAGGTCACACCAGCAGCTGCATGTAGAAGAGTGGGGAGTCAAACCCAGATCTTCAAGATGAGAGTCTGCGTTGCCACTACACCAAACTGTAGGAACCATCTGAAATCTAATCAGTGCTCATTGATCTTTCTCGAAAAAAAACCCATTTGGGTTTTCAGTTCTGATGTGGCATTTTCCTTACATTATCTCTCTCTGACCATCATTCAGAAGTGTTCCTGTGGAGAGAGCATTTGTGGTCTAATCAGGGGTCATTTCGGCGAAAAAGAGGTGCAGGAGCTCATTAGCATAACTTATTTGCATGTGCCACACCCCCTGACATCACCGGAAGTGTGTCAGAAGGCAACACCCACCACTCAGGCTCCGCTGGACTGTTTTGGATTGCTAGCTATTGGGGGGGGGGGGAAACGTGCAGATCTGTCCTCGCAGAGGAGGGAGAGCTTGTACCTGAATAAAACCTGGTCTTAAAGGTGCCACTGGACTGTTTTGGACCGGGGGGCCAGGGGGAGCTCTGCAACATACCTGGCTGCTTCTTGCTCTGACTGAGGGCTGCTGGGAGCAGGGGGTGGGGCTTGTTGCATGTGCCCGCCCCCTGGACTCTTTACTGCCGGAGCTCCGCTCCTGTGCGCTCCTGCAGGAAATGACCCCTGGGTCTAATGCTTTGCAAGCGTCCCCTGGGCATCCTCTGCATATGCATTGTGTAACTCCGAGGTGTAGATTCTTTGGCTGCATCTGCATTAGCCCAAGGACAGAGGGCAGGATACCCTGGATGCCTGCTGATTAGCAGCTGCCTCCAGTGATGTGCCAAAATCTGCATAGTGTATGGATCTCCATTGATATGGGTTACCTACTTGCAGTGTACACAGCTCCTGGTTTTAGCGACACAGAAAGTGATGCATCTTCCCTCTCTTGCTCCAACACTTGGTCTTCTAGAGCTGCTGGTGTATACGCAGTCTTGTCCGCTAGAAAAAATATATATTAAAATCTCTAATCTTCTAGAATTCCTTTTTAAAAGTCAGAAGATTATACTACCAAGCAGAATTGTGCTTTTGGCAGTATGACGATCGCCCTGTGGACAGCAAGACTTCATTTCACTTGTTTATTATGTGGTGTTATCCTAACCCTTCTTCCAATGAGTCCAGGGCTGGGTATGTCATTTTCTTTCTTCCACCCTTGTATCCTCACAACAACCCTGTGAGGTGGGTTAGGCTGAGAACGACAGGCCTCCCCTAAGGTCACTGACCACAATTTCTTGGCTGAGTCAATCTCAGCCTAACCTACCGCACAGGGCAGTGGTTGTGAGGATAAGCGTGGAGGTGGGGGGAATGAAGATGGGCCCCCAGTGGGGTATAAGGATCTAAATAAATAGCAAACTCTCAGATGCCAACGTCTGAGTCAGGGGTGGCCAAACTTGCTTAACGTGAGAGCCACACAGAATAAATGTCAGATGTTTGAGAGCCACAAGAAGAAGAAGAGATTTGATTTATACCCTGCCCTTCACTACCCAAAGGAGTATCAGAGCGGCTTACAAACTCCTTTCCCTTCCCCTCCCCACAACAGACACCCTGTGAGGTAGGTGGGGCTGAGAGAGCTTTGACAGAAATTGCTCTTTTTTTCAAGAACAGCTCTTATCAGAACTACAGCTTGCCCAAGGTCATCCAACCAGGTGCAAGTGGAGGAGTGGGGAATCAAACCCGGTTTTCCCGGATTAGAGTCCGCGCACTTAACCACTACACCAAACTGGCTCTGAACAAACGTTACACACACATTTTTATTGAAAAATATGCAGATTTGCTTTTTATTAACATTAGATGAGACTGCCGAAAATTAAAACAAAAGGAGTAAAAACAGATATTGATGATGGTGTTTATTTGTCGAATGATATTTATTTGTTTGCTAATGATATTTATTTGTCTAAGAGAAAGAGAGAGAGAACGCTTTGAGAATGCATTTAAAGTTGCTTTCTTTCTCTGCTCCCCCCCACCTCAAGCCTACCCAGGGAGGGGAACACGGCCCGGGGAAGGGAAGACCGATCGAGGAGGCAGGCCTCCCCTTCACTTCCCCAGCTGCCCTGCCGGGAGCCACACAATATCTGTAAAAGAGCCGCATGTGGCTCCCGAGCCACAGTTTGGCCACCCCTGGTCTGAGCTAACCAGGACTATCAGCAGTCTCGGGACAGAGCCTTAGTTGTCCATGTAACGACCGCCTGTTATTCTAAATAAACAAACATGTGCAAGTGTGTTCATACTTTAGTCATGCCCCAGGAGTTTGAGTTACCTTGATTCAGAATTTGGTGTTTCCACGTACAGCCCTAAGCATCCATGCCCATTCCAGATATTAATGGATTTATTCTCTCTTGCTCCATGGTGAAAAGCATGGTGTAACCGTTAAGAGTGTTGAACTAGGAGCTGGAAGACCTGGGCTCAAATTCCCCCTTCTTCCATGGAAGCTTATTAGGTTTCCTTGGGCCAGTCACACACACTCAGCCTAACCTACATCACAGGGCTGTTGTGAAGATAACATAGAAGAGAGAAGAACGATGGAAGCCGCTTTGGGTCCCCATGGGGAGAAGAGTGGGGGGTATGAATGGAAGAAACAAACAAACTGTAAGCTGAATTAAACTAGTTCACTGGTCCCAGAGGCTTGGTCCCACGTGGCCATTGGGCACATAATGGGCTCAGATGGCTTGGGGAGCCTATGCCTGTGGCGCAATAAGTTGCCGAATGGCAGCAGTTGGATGGCCGCCTGTACACCTCTTGAGATTTTGACACGTTCATGTCCAACCCGTCCTTCTCTCTGCAGCATCGCTGAGCCACAGCAGCTCTTCTTCAGTGGGGAGGTGCGGGGCGAGAGCGCCATGAAGCGGGAGAGTGAGGTGGGCAGCCCTGTGCGCTACAAAGTGACGGTGAGTGATAGGGGCTGGGGCTGGAGCCCTTCCACGTAGCCCCCTGCTGCTATCAGCAGGTTATAACTAGAGTGGGAGAAGCCTTTGAGCCAGGAGTTGATTTGATGACTACTCTGCAATTGTGGTGGTGATGTGGGAGCGATAGGATTGGTGTTAGGAAATGGTGAGCTAAGAGCATAGAAGAGCCTGGCTGCATCAGACCTGTGGCCTATCTGATCCAGTGTCCTCTCTTACACAGTGGCCACACGGTTGCCCTGGTGGGCTAATAAGCAGGGCATAGAGGTCCTCCTGGATACTACATCCTAGTACTAGATATTGGTGGTTTGCTGTTTCTAAGTTCTTGGGTTACAGCTAAGTTTTTGCTATCTTTGACCCCCTCAGCAAATATTGTGGAGGATGTGGATGCTCCTGTCTGAGTCATTTTTCTTATGATCACATAAAGCAGATCATCTACTTCTTAATCATCCTCCAGTGTGAATAGTAGGGTTGCCAGCCCCCCCCCCCCGGCCACTGGTGGGGGATGGGAGGTAGGGTTGCTAAATCCAGGTTGGAAAACTCCTGCAGATTTGGGGATGGAGCCTGGGGAGGACAGGAATCTCAGTGGGGTACAAACAGTGCCGGATTTACGCATAAGCTAAATAAGCTACACCTTAGGGCCTCGCAATCTGCTGGGGCCTCGAATAAAAACACAAAATAAAAAATGATTTCAAATATTAAAAAGGTGTATATATTTTAAATTTTTCTGAGACCAGCTGATGTAATTTAAAACAGTAGGGGGCCTCTGAGTTTTGTATAGCTTAGGGCCTCAGCAAGTCTAAATCCGGCCCTGGGTACAATGTCATGGAGTCCACCCTCCAAAGCATCCATTTTCTCCAGAGGAATTGATCTCTGTAGTCTGGAGATGAACTGTAACCCCACAGGATCCCCAGGTCCCACCTGGAGGCTGGCATCCCCAGTGAATAGCAAGATCTTTTTTAAAGAATGCATTTTTATATCCTTCCGGTGCGGGGGGGAAAGTGTGACTATAAAGCCAAAGAGTGGTAATTATCCTAAAGGGTGTTTTTTATATGGAATAAAACCCTTAGGGAATGGGTAGTAGAAAGTGCTTCCCTTTGTCACTGGATGGCACTTTCATAACTGGTCTGGCTTGCACTCAGCTTCACACTCTTCATCCTGCATCAGGTCTCCAACAGAGGCCCGTCACTGAACACGCTGGGCTCAGCCTTCCTCAACGTCCTGTGGCCCCATGAAATCGCCAATGGGAAGTGGCTCCTCTACCCACTCCGGGTGGAGCTGGAAATGTCGACTCAGCCGCAGAGGCGTACAGCCTGCACCCCAGTTCCAAACACGCTACGCCTGGCTCTGGTAAGAAGCCCCAGAACTGACCTGTGCAGGGAAAGCATTGTGCGGTGGTGAGAGTCCTGGATCGTCTTATCCCACCTTTTCTGGGCAGATACAGCTGTGACCTTGGCACCTTCTGCAGCATGTGATAAAGCAGCACTCCTAGAGGAACTGTCTGTCTGGCCCCTTCTTGGGACATCCAAAACATAATCATTTATTTTTCCAAATATTGCAGCCGGGACTGGCATCCCACAATTGGGACATTTATCAGCAAAAGGCAATTTTATGCACTTTGCATGCACCATTCATTGTGCATTGTTTCCCCATTCTAAAGCGTAAAGCTGGGTTTATTGTATATAGTTCCTTATACAAAAGGACAGCCCTCACTATTGTTCATTGTTCCCCTTTCAAAAACATAGACCTGAATTCTTTAATGCCTATCTCCCCCCCCCATGCAAAAACAAAGACATAGCTTTTATCTCTCATTCAAAAACTCAACATTGATTTCAGTCATTGTGGCACATGACTGTGGAGCTGGTGCTTTTTGTATGGATCCTGGAAAAAGGTGTGCCAACCTGTTACTTACCTGAGACATGTTTGCTGTTTCGTGATTTATTTACTTGTCTCAAGAGCAGTAAATCACAGATATCTGCGGAATCGCTAATCTCTCCCTTTTCCCTTTAGGAGCCTCCTCACCACCAAGGCAGGAAGAAGCGAGAGGCTGGCCGGGCAGGCACTGCCAGTCAGACGCTGACTTATTGGGAGAGGCGAAAAAATGTCACCTTGGTGAGTGAGGCTAGGCGTGGGGACGTTTGCTGGGGCTGTGTGCTTTCCATCCGTTCATAAGATTGCCAAGCAAGCACGAAATACGGATCTTGGTGACATTCTGCGTGGCATTCTGCAATTCCTAGTGCAGTAATAATGGCACTGTAAGGGGCAAATTAAAGTTACCTAAAATGATAGGGCTACAATTATACACATGCAGCTGCTTTCCCTCGTGGGGGAGGAAAAACACCTGGGATATTATTGGGATGGAAAATGGTCAGCAATGAAAGGGTTTTTCCCCTCTTCACTTCCACCACCCCGTTTCCATCTGCTGTTGTTTGTGTGTAAAGTGCCCTCAAGCTGCAGCCGACTTATGGCAACCCCAGCAAGGGGCTTTCAAGGTGAGTGGGAAGCAGAGGTGGTTTGCCATGGCCTCCCACTGCAGAGTCTTCCTTGGTGGTCTCTCTTCCAAGTACCGACCCTGCTTAGCTTCCGAGATCGGGCTGTACCATGCTGCCTTTTCTCCCCTTCCACTGAAGATGTGAGCAGTGACTCACGAAAGTTCATACTCTACCACAAACCTTGTTAGTCTTTAAGGTGCTAGTGGAGTCTTTTCTACTGCTACAGACAGACTAATAGACCTGAGTCAGATTGAGGTGACGAGAGAGGAGGTCCTAAAACTGATAGACAACTTAAAAACTGAAAAATCACCAGGCCCAGATGGCATACATCCGAGAGTTCTGAAAGAACTCAAATGTGAACTTGTAGATCTCCTGACAAAGATATGTAATCTTTCCTTAAAATCTGCCTCCATTCCTGAGGATTGGAAGGTAGCTAATGTCACTCCCATCTTTAAAAAGGGTTCCAGAGGAGATCCGGGAAATTACAGGCCAGTCAGTCTGACGTCGATACCGGGTAAATTGGTGGAAACCATTATTAAGGAAAGAATTAGTAGGCACATAGATGAACAAAACCTATTGAGGCAGACTCAGCACGGTTTCTGTAAGGGAAGATCTTGTCTCACTAACCTGTTAGTGTTCTTTGAGGGGGTGAACAAACATGTGGACAAGGGGGATCCAATAGATATTATTTACCTTGACTTCCAGAAAGCTTTTGATAAAGTTCCTCATCAAAGGCTCCTAAGTAAGCTCAAAAATCATGGGATAGAAGGACAAGTCCTTTTATGGATCAAAAACTGGCTAGTTCATAGAAAACAGAGAGTGAGTGTAGGTGGGCAATTTTCTCAGTGGAGGGTGGTAAGCAGTGGGGTACCGCAGGGATCAGTACTTGGTCCACTGCTTTTTAACTTGTTCATTAATGATTTGGAGATGGGAGTAAGCAGTGAAGTGGCTAAATTTGCGGATGATACAAAGTTGTTCAGGGTGGTGAAAACCAGTGAGGATTGTGAGGCACTCCAAGGGGATCTGTCAAGGATGGGCGAGTGGGCGTCAACATGGCAAATGGGGTTCAATGTGGCCAAGTGCAAGGTGATGCACATTGGAGCCAAAAATCCTAAATATAAATACACATTGATGGGGTCTGAACTGGCAGAGACTGAGCAAGAGAGAGATCTTGGAGTTGTAGTGGATAACTCACTGAAAATGTCGAGACAGTGTGTGACTGCAATAAAGAAGGCCAATGCTATGCTGGGGATTATTAGGAAGGGTATTGAAAACAGATCAGCCAATATAATAATGCCCCTATATAAATCAATGGTGAGACCTCATTTGGAATACTGTGTGCAGTTCTGGGCACCACACCTTAAAAAGGATATTATAGCTTTGGAAAAAGTGCAGAAAAGGGCAATTCTTCACCCAAAGAGTGATTAACACATGGAATTCACTGCCACAGGAAGTGGTGGGTGCTACAAGCATGGATGGCTTCAAAAGGGAATTAGATAAGCATATGGAGCAGAGGTCCATCAGTGGCTATTAGCCACAAGGTATAGCTAGGGGCTCTGGGGCAAGTGATGCTCTGTCTTCTTGGTGCTTGGGGGGGGGTCAACAGTGGGAGGGCTTCTAATGTCCTGGCCCCACTGCTGGACCTCCTGATGGCACTGGTATTTCTGGCCACTGTGTGACACAGAGTGTTGGACTGGATGGGCCTTTGGCCTGATCCAACATTGGCGTCTCTTATGTTCTTATGTTCTTAATACGGCTACGCATCTCGATCCCCTTCCACTATTACTCTACTCAAAGTTTCCATCTCCCAAAAGTTTTCTTTTTATTTTTCATTGAAAAGGAGAGGTATCACATGCATTTGTGTGTAGAGTGGTATACCCCAAGTTCCACAGTTTCACAGCCTGCCCAGTCACTACCTTCGACAAGCTTCTCATTGTGAGTACAGCTTATGCACAGGGAAAATGGGTGGCCACTTTATGGTGCTCGGTCTCCTCACTGCATTGTGTGTGGAGGAGGGGTGTGTGTGGAATCCTCTCTCATCCTACTTCATTCTAAGAACTTGGAGCAGACTTTGTGTTTGTCTTTTCATTACCTCTCTGAAACAATGAAGGCCAGAAACAGACTCTTTTTTTCTTAAATGAAAGTCAGGGCTCTCGAGAATCTGATGAACGCTGTGCTAGAAACCAGACTTTTGTCATTTACAGATCATGATTGTTTAGGCAGTAATAATATGCATCACAGTGTGAAAGCTCTGCAGGTGGCTACCCAAGTGGTATTGTAGTTCCCAACAACAACAGAACCCTTCTGCCTTAATTTTTGTTCTATACAATGGTTAATGTTGGGGCTAAAGAAGACTTGGCTGGCTGGAACCACGGTCCTTTCCTAGGTCAAGCAATCCGCATGCTTTCTCCCATCTTGCTTCAGGACTGTGATTTGGGCACTGCTCACTGTCAGCACTTCCAGTGTCCTCTCTACAGCTTTGACCGCTCAGCCGTGCTCACCCTCTGGGGCCGCCTCTGGAACAGCACCTTTTTGGAGGTGAGTCTAATTTTCCTTGTTTGGGGACGGCAATGTAGAAATCTCTGGAGTAGGACACTGCCACTCATATGTGGGAGACTCATCCCAGCAGACCTAATTTTGGGTCAGGATACGTGACAGGGGTTACAGCAGGGGTGTCACAAACATGTGGACCACGGAACCAGCCCCATGAACAACTGGTGCTGTTCTCAGCCTATGAGGGAAAAGGGGTCATGGGAGGAAATAAGTGCCCCCTGGGATTTTGGAAACAGCCTCTCTGTCAGGCCTTCCCCTCAGCCCTGCTGCTTCTGTGGCAAACGCAGGAGGAATGAGGACTGGAGGTGGGGGGATCTGAGAGAGTCAGACTTTTGTGGGTTCCCCAGTGGATCAATTATTTTTACTGCTAGGAATCAATTGCTTCTCTTTGTATTTTGAGTAAAAAATAATCTTGCTAATCAACTTTGCCCTTTATAAAGTTTTTATCTCTGGAAAGCCAGTTTGGTGTAGTGGTTAAGTGCACGGACTCTAATCAGGGGGAACCGGGTTTGATTCCCCACTCCTCCACTTGGAGCTGCTGGATGACCTTTGGCAAGTCATAGTTCTGTCAGTGCTGTTCTCTCAAGGACAGCTCTGGAAAGAGCTCTCTCAGCCCCACCTAGGGTGTCTGTTGTGGGGAGGGGAAGGGAAAGGAGATTGTAAGCTGCACTGAGACTCCAAGTGAAGGGCAGGGTATAAAACCAATCTCTTCTTCTCTCTTCTGGTACCTGGCATTACATTTTTACAGCACCCATCGCCCAGCCCAGCAAACTGGCATTTATGTCAGATCTGGCCCTCATAACAAATGAGTTTGACACCTGTGGGTTAGAGTGTTAGACTAGGATCTGAGAGACCTGGGTTCAGATCCCCACTCTGCCATGGAAGCTTGCTGGGTGACCTTAGGCCAGTTACACACTCTCAGCCTAACCAACCATACAGGGTGGTTGTGAGGATAAAATGGAGAAGAGGATAACAACATAAGCTGCTTTGGATCTTCGTTGGGACAAAAAGTGGGGTATAAATGAAATAAATAAAACATTAAGAAGTATCTCCGTGGTCAGCCACATTCATAGGAAGTGATAAGGCTTGTGGTGTGCAGTCCTTGAAGAAAGTTTCTTAAAATGCCTGTGAGAAGTGGCACTGTAACGTACGCAAGATAACCAAGTATTAGCTGAACTGTCCTAACACTTGGAGCTGCGGTGGCTCAAGTGGTTAAGACACTGAACTGCAGGCTGTGGAAGATCAGTAGTTCAGCAGTTCGAGACCCGGGTGCTGCATGATGGAGTGAGCTCCCATCTCTAGTTCCAGCTCCTGCCAACCTAGCAGGTCGAAAGCAGATAAATAGGGACCACTTCGGTGGGAAGGTAATAGTGTTCTGTGCGCCTTGGTGTTTAGTCATGCCGGCCACATGACTACGGAAACGTCTTCGGACAGCGCTGGCTCTTCGGCTTTGGAACGGAGATGAGCACCGCAACCCTAGAGTCGGACTCAACTGGCTTTCGAGCAAGGGAACCTTTACCTTTTTTACCTTACCTAACACTTGACTATGTCGTGCCCTAAGGGGACATCCCAGTGGCTGTTCCGCTCAGGGTCGACTTATCCATTAGGCACAGTAGGCAGAGTGCCTAGGGCCCACGATAATTTTAGGGGCCCATGAAAATGTTTTACTTTCTTTTAAAATCAGAAGGGAAAAAAAACCTAGGGTTGAAGAATTATTTTTTTAAAAAAATTCTCACATCAGGAAAAAAATATGAAATTTTAGGGCCCATAAAAATCTATTAAATTTTGCTTAAAACAGAAAAATAAAATGTTGAAGTATTTAAAGTTATATCCAAAATAATTTTAACACTGATATTATTATGGTGGGAGGGGCCCTGGAAGTCAAAAGGGCCTGGGGCCCACAAAAGTCCTAATGCGGCCCTGGTTCCAATCTCTGCTCTCTCTTGCCCTTAGGAGTACGCAGCAGTGACGTCGGTGGAAGTGATTGTGCGGGCCAGCATCACAGTGAAATCCACCATCCGCAACCTGTTTCTGAAGGATTCCACAACGCAGGTGTCAGAGAACTCACAGTACAGTTCCTGTGCCCCCTTTCCCCTTCCTTACACAATGCAAAATATTTTGCAACACAGGGAAGAGTTCTCAGGATGTACCCTCTGACCCCACCCCCTGCCTCACTCCCAGTTGCTGCCATTGTTAATTCAGGGAAGAATCAGACTCATAAACTGCAGTGCAACCCCATTTCTCCCTGTCCCAGCAAAATTTTGGGGCTTTGGAAAGAGGCAAAAAGTGAAGAAGGGTCTGCCGTCAGCCAGGAAGAAGGCCAACAGGAGACCAACCATGCAAAAACTTTGTACCTTCTTAATGAAAGATGAGATTTGGTGTGCAAAAAAACAGGGAGTGGGGTGACCACCTGGGGATGTGTTGTGGACTGCTCCTTATGCAGAACTGGTGGGTTATGCATCCCATCTCTATCTGTCCATCTGGATGCACCTTTTATACGAGCACTGTTTGTGGTTCAGCAAATCTCAGTTATGTCTGTTCCACTGAGGTTGGTAATGGACAACTCGTATGTTTGGGCTCATTGCTGAATGGGATCAGTTCATCCAGCGGAGAGCCAGTTTGGTGTAGTGGTTAAGAGCAGTGGACTCTAATCTGGAGAACCAGGTTCAGTTCCCCACTCCTCCACATGAAGCCAGCTGGGTGACCTTGGGTCAGTCACAGTTCTCTCACCTCCAAAAATAAACCTAGCTCAACACACAAAGAGCTAGAGTTTAAGGCCACCAGACAATCTTTTGGCTCTCCTGGCTATACTACACCCACTGTCGTATGATAATTAATCTAGTGATTACCCTTAATTTCTCACTACATTTGGGTTGGCTTCTCACCCTTGCTACTGCATTCTTTTCCCCAGATCCCAGTGACTGTCTACCTGGACCCTAGTGTGGCCATGGCACGTGGGGTGCCATGGTGGATCATCCTCATTGCTATTCTCGCTGGGATCCTCGTGCTGGGCCTGCTGGTTTCCATCCTATGGAAGGTATGCTGGCCTGGAGGAAGTGGCAGTGGTGGGTGGGGTGATTCCATGGGGCTCAGTTCAATGCCGAGTTCTCTTCTCTGTCAACCTTGAGATTCTGCCACTGCCTTGACACTGGAGTTTACCAGAATGGTCCCACTTTCCTTAGGCATGTCATAAGAACATAAGAGAAGCCAATGTTGGATCAGGTCAATGACCCATCCAGTCCAACACTCTGTCACACAGCAGCCAAAAATACCAGGTGCCATCAGGAGGTCTGGCAGTGGGGCCAGGACACTAGAAGCCCACCCACTGTTGCCCCCCCCAAGCATCAAGAATACAGAGGATCACTTGCCCCAGATGGAAAGTTCCTATCTATACCTTATGGCTAATAGCCACTGATGGACCTCTGCTCCATATGTTTTTTTGTTTTTGTTTATTTCCCTCTCCTAAAAAGGAGAGAATTTTATTGCTTTTACATTTCAGAAAGTTAGGAAGGGTATATAGAGGGGTAAAGAAAAGTGTTGAGTGATGTTAAAAATTAGTATATTAATCTTTTATTAGTAAAGTCAAAGTCAAAATCTTCTTCTGCAGCTGGACAATCCCTTTTTCTTCTATATCTTTCAAAACCGGTTAGTTAGTGTGTTAATAGTGTCCCTTTGGGGTTAGTATTATCTTTTATTGCGCTTTCCGAACTAGTTCTCAAACGTTGGGGCTCTGCTCCATATGTTGAACAACACTGAACATCTGAGCAACATAGGCTGAACAACACTTCCAATGACCATGTCAGATTACACAGGGAAGCCATTGAAATTCATAAACATAAACACAATTTCAACAGGAAAGAAGAGAGTTTAAAAATAAATAGGGCATGGTTTCCTGTCCTGAAAAACAAAAAAGCCCCTACATCTGACAATAGCACTAGAGATAATATTAGAATTTCAACAGCCAATCCACATACAAAAGAACCTCCTCAGGAAAGCTCCTCCATTAGCATGTTCATAGCCTGGGAAACTCCTACAAGATAATGACTCAGCCCTACCCCACCTTCTGGAGTAGATATAAATTACCTGCCTAACATTTTTCTTCTCACCTTGACATAGAGAGTACTCCATCTTTCTGTGTTATACCTCTGAGGATGCCAGTCACAGCTACTGGTGAAACGTCAGGTTCTACAATGCCAAGACCACAGCCACACAACCTGGAAAATCTATAGCAACTAATAAAAGCTCTGTATTGTCTACTCAGACTGCCTCCAGGGTCTCAGGCCGAGGTCTTTCACATCATCTACCACCCGATCCTTTTGACTGCAGAGGCTGGGGATTGAATTTGGGACCTTCTCCATGCCAAGCAGATGATCTAACACTGAGCCATGGCCCCTCTCCACATATTGTCCAAATGATTGCGCCATACCAGCTAGGAGACACATTTGGAGAGACTTGTCTGTGGGCAAGAGCCTAAAGTGTCTGCCCTGTGGTGTGTGATGGGATACTAGAGTCTGCTTGAGAGCCACTGGGGTACAGATAGATCTTAGGGTGCCATCACCTTTAAGGCAGGAACTCCCCCTTTCTGCGCTAAGCTTTAGACCCAATTTCTGGGGAGTGGTCGCCAGTCTGATGATTCCCTTCATACTTCTCCCCACTCCCAGTGTGGCTTCTTCAAGAGGACCAGCCGGGAATCCAAGTACTCCACAAACTATTACCGGGCCCGGCTGGCCATACAGCCATCTGATGCTGACAGGCAGGCCATGGAGGCCTAGCGGTAATGCCTGGCCTTGCCCACCTAACTGACCCTCTGCTTGTATGTATGCAGCAATGAGAACACAGATGTAGAAGGGGAAGAGCGAAAAAAATGGACCGCTGTCCCTATGACATCACTAAGAATACTAGTGCATGTGCAAGCAAGTAGTGCTACCTGTGCACTTCCAAGGGCATACAGGAGTGTTTGTGCAGGTCTCTGCAGATCACTGCACAGTATAACAGAAGAAACTGCAGTGCTCGTGTGCATGTGGGTTGTGAGAAAACTGATTGTTGTGATGCATGATCATGGAATAACCACTGGATATTCAAGGGATTTCATAAATGGGCACCAGGAAACTGAAGTGTTGATACTCTTGGAAATGACAACATGGCAGTGTGCAACAGAATATAATTCTGCAAATGTCTGGGAAGTCAAGTGCATGCATGCAAAATAACATGTGTTGAAAACACCGGTGTGTGCTGCTACAAGGAGTGCAAGATTCCTGGACCAGTTAGAAGGCTGTTGTGTGAGAGAACGTGAGTGTATGCAAAGGGAGTCGGATCCATGCTGTGAATATCCAGGTAGTTCTAGTTTTTGGGATCAGATAACTCTCCTGTTACTTCTGGTTCCCCCCCTTAGTTCAGAAGTGCAAGGGCATCAGACTGTATCAGTTCTCCTGCCCCACAGCTATTTGGGCCAGAATGAAATGTGTGGCCCATGTGGCTGGCTTTCTACATTTATTGAAGGAGTATCTTCAGTGGGACAGGCAAATGCTTTTCTCCAGGAAACTTCTTTGCACTACTGATAGCATTTTAGGGCCTTTGACTGAGTAGGGGGTTAAGCGGTCAATTGAGTGTGTGTGTGTGTGTGTGTGTGTGTGAGAGAGAGAGAGAGAGAGAGAGAGAGAGAGAGAGAGAGAGAATGAATACAAGTATGTAAGACACTGTACTCAAAACTGCATGCAGATGTATACAGGAAGAGAGTGTGAAGATGCTTGCAAGAGTACCCAGATAGATGAATCGTCATGAATGTTGGTGTGGGCATGTCAGAACGCATGGTTATGCGTGATGTGTTCCAGAAGCATGATGTGTATTGAGCTGACGAATGAGGACTGGGAGCCAAAACAAGAATATTATCACTTATAAGATGGTGAATGTAGCCTGTGTCCTGTTGGCAAAACAGAGGCCATCCTGCCTTCGAGCAGGTTCAGGTGATGGATGGCCTATTACTACATTCATTGATTTAACAGTAAGGTTTCTTCCCTTCTACCTAGCTGGGCTTTTTCAAGCGTACCCGCTATGAAGAAGCCAAGGTACCACAGTATCACGCAGTCAAGATCCCCCGGCAGGAACGCCAGCTTTTCCGTGAGGAGAAGACAGGCACCATCACCAAGAAGGACTGGATTACCAATTGGAATGGGGACAGTGATGGCCATGTTCCTGCCTCAGCCTAGATGCATCCACATTTCATCCTCCTTTGGCAAGCCGCTGACTGGTAGGAAGTGGCCACTGCGGGACGGCTCTGGTGGCACCAGCCTGCTCTCCTCTCTGGAAGACCTGTGAACACTGAACTGACCCTTCCCGAGAAGACTGTCAGCAGATAATTCAGGGAGACGCGTGCTTTAGCACTTATGACAAACAGATTCTACAAGGCCAAAGATTCTTAGGGTTTATCCTGGTACTCTTTTTTTCCTTGAAAAGCTGGGTAGAACCTGACCTGAGAAACTGATCAGGTGCCAAAGGGCACCTCTGCTTTGCTTGGATCACCCGCTTTCCCAGTTTCCCCTGAAGAATCATCTGATGAGAATAAATCCGTGCACTCTGCTGTTGAGTGGTGGAACTGTACGTCATCACCTGTTCACTGTGAATGTGGAATTTATTTGCTCTGAGAGCCAATTTTATTGGGGGAGCGGGGTGTGTTTGTGTGGAGACAGAGCTTAGATTCTTTGGGTTTGTGACCGGGTTTCAAAGCCTGCAAGCTTTTTGTAATTTATAATCTTTCTAATTACACTTAAGGCCTGAACTTGATGGCCAAGGCGGATCTAAAATGAAATGCTTTACTACTAGAAGTCTTTACTACTGTTATCAAAGGGGTGCCACTGTAAGATCTGCTCACTTGCTCTCCAAGGGATTGCTACCATCTCCGAAAACAAACAAGACAGTCACATCCCTACCCTGTGACAACATGCACAGGTCAATACAGCCTGTGAAGGGAATTCCGTTCACTATTGCTGTGTAGTGAATAGCAGTGGAAGGACATGTCTCCCCAAGAAACAAACTTGAGAAACCCTTGTGTCTGCTCAGAATGCAACAGGATACTATTCCAGGCTTTCTAATGCCTCCTTGGCCACCGCAAGGCAGGGGCAGCCTTGGCTATGTTGGCACATGCACACACAAATAAATACACGTCTTGGGTAACCTTAGACATCTGTCTTTCTGGCCACAGTTCTTTAGAACATTTAAAATATAGGCTGGTTTAATACCCCTGGTGTTTCTCAGTTCCTTTGGGTGTTCCGAATCCTGCCTTCTTTGATGCCTGTATCCACATGGTGATGTGCAGGTATATACACACAGCTGCTTCCCTCCTTCGTGGCATACAAAGCAAGTGCAAAGAGTGCCCTGCCCTGCTCTAGAATGTACATATTTCAGCTTCAGGAAGAACAGGGGGCTCTGCTTTCCTGCTTCTCTTCATGCCGTAATCCAACTCCATGTTTTCTACCTAGATACATTTTTTTTCCTTCCTTTCAAAGTGCTGAGGTTGGGGTGGACTATTGCTGTTGATCTTCCAGAACCTCTACCCTATGCAGACTAACCCAGGGGTGTCAGACGTATGGCCCATGGGCCGGAACTGGCCCATCCAGGGATCTTACCTGGCCAGCAAGCAACTGGTCACTACCTTTATTGCCAGATGACAGAGGTTGTGTGTTATGTCCCTGTACACTGTCCCAGTTCTAATGAGTAATGGGTGGTGGAAGTTGGAGGGTGGGCATCAGGGAGATACTTTAAGGAAATACCCTAAGATTGTTTAGGCAATACTGTAAGATTGTTAATGTTTAAAGCATATTTATATTTTGAGTAAAATTAATTGGAGCAAGATGGGTAGCTGTGTTAGTCAGTCTGTAGCAGTAGAAAAGAGTGGGAGTCCAGTAGCACCTTAAAGACTAACAGAATTTGTGGCAGGGCATCATGAGCAATGTTCCCTCTAAGCTCTGGAGTTTTGTGAGCAAAAATCCTACTTTGTGAGCTACTGGCATTAAAGTTGTGAGCAAGCAATTTGGCTACTGCATGAATTAGTTTGCTCTGGAGCCCTCCTTCCTGAGCTAAGACAAAAATGTGTGAGCTGGAGGCTGAAAAACTGTGAGCTAGCTCACACTAACTCAGCTAAGAGGGAACACTGATCATGAGTCACTGCTCACTTCAGATATCTGAAGAAGTGAGCAGTGACTCATGAAAGCTCCTACCCTGCCACAGATTGCGTTAGTCTTTAAGGTGCTACTGGACTCTTGCTCTTATCTGTTGTTAATTGGTTGCCTGTATTCTTTATAAAATTCATATCTCCTGAACCTGGCACTACATTTTATGGCACACATGGCCCGGCCCGACAGAGTGCCATTTATGTCAGATCCAGCCCTTGTAACAAATGAGTTTGACACCTCTGTAGAGTAACCATTTGCAGATAATCATTGCTTTCAATTCTACCTATTGCACTTACAAAAAGGTTTTTTTTTCCAGCTTAAGGAAAAGCAGGCTGGAAGGGAAGCATGGAGGTTGCAAATGTTTGTGTACACACACACACACACGCATTTTTCCTTGTACTACAAGGATTGAGGCCAAATTAAAACTGGTAGGTGAAGAGACCGAAAGGGCAATGTGGTGAAAGAGAGCTTTCCAAAATAGAACCCAAAGAACATAAATAGTGAATTCCAGAGGGATAGAAAACAGCAGCTTCTCTCGGTGAGCCAGCTCAATCCACTGCGAAAGGGATCGAGACCTGGAACGCACCGGTTTCACTATGGGGGTCAGTTTGTTCATGGTGATAACAATGCAGAAATTATTTACGTTACCCCCTTTTCAGAGCTAAAGCCAGTCTCCAAGGACATGGTATTGGAGTTGAACACCAAACATCTAATTTGGCCCCAGAAGTAGCGATGCCAGCCTCCAGGTGGGACCTAGGGATCCCCCAGAATTACAGCAAATCTCCGGTCTACATAGATCAGTTCCTCCAGCAGAAAATGGATGCTTTAGAAGGTAGAGTCTGTGGCACTGTACCCCGGTAATGCCCCTGTCCTCCCCAAATCACCAGGGGTTTCCCAACGTGGATCTGATAACCCCATCCCTCCCATCCCCTGCCAGTGGCCAAGGGGCACCAGTGGCAACCCTACCCAGAAGTGAAGCAGCTGTCATTTGCACCAATGGCAAAAAGTGATACGCTCCAACCAGTACTGTACGGTTGGGGGGGAACACATGGCCCCATCAGTGGAGACAATCTTCAGCGAGGAAGCAATTCCACAGATCCTTTCTGGCTTCCAGCCCCTATGATAATGATGGTCATTTCAATAGTAATAAAAAAAGAACAGGTCTGGGGCAATGTTCCCTCTAAGCTGTGGAGTCTTGTGAGCAAAAATTCTACTTTGTGAGCTACTGGCATTAAAGTTGTGAGCTTTAATGTGGCTACTGCATAAATTGGTTTGCTCTGCAACCATCCTTCCTGAGCGAAGACAAAAATGTGTGAGCCGGAGGCTCAAAAACTATGAGCTGGCTCACACTAACTCATCTTAGAGGGAACACTGGTCCGGGGAAAGGAGGAGACACCCACGGGATCTCTATGAGACCAGCCTTATTACAAGGAGGCAGGATGTGTTCTGTGGACCCAGGAGATATTCCACTCTTTGTAAATTATTCAAAATATTCCAGGCTGTTAGGTAAGAGTTTAGCATTGCTTCAATGTGCACATGGGGAGTGTGTATGAACACTCCCCCACCCACATACAGCACCCACTTCAAAAAGTAAATGCTACTGAAGTCAACAGTGTATACTCTTGAGTACCTGCACTTAGTATTTCAGCCATAAATAAGATCAGTCGCCATAGCAACATCACAATTACACAGCACAGCATATGGCAGAAAGCGGAGGATGGTGTGAAGACAGTGACTGCCCATAGAGACTTGAGACGGTGCATGAGGGGACAGACTTCACACAGACATATCCAGATCCAAAAACTGGGTTTATGACTCAAAAGGAAGAGACTCAAAATCTTCATTTGCCCTGGTCGCTTAGAGTTTCATTTGTAAGGGATAGCGATTACTTCAACGCTTCCACTTTCTCTTACAGGCCCCCGATAGCTAACTTCCAACCTGTACTTTTTGCAGTGTTCCATGAAAACGTCAGCATAAATAACCATTCTAATGTGCACGCACAGATGTGTGAATTCATCTTCTCTGTCATGGCGCTCTTTCCGTATTTATAAATTAGAATTCTCTTGGCACTGCAGCAAATAATTCCCAGCATAGAGGCGCAAAGCCTGGCAGCAAGAGATGGCTTGCCTTATAGGGGCTTAGAGTAGCTCTTTCAGTTGCCCTGGAATTCTGTACCCCTGCCCCCAAGGCAACAGCTGCTGCCCTTCCACATTTTTTAATTCGTTGCATCCAGGTAGGGTTGCCAACCTCCAGAGGGTGGCTGGAGATCTCCTGGGATTACAACTGATCTCCACCTGAGAGATCAGTTCGTCTGGATAAAATGGCCGCACTGGAAGGTGGACACTATGGCATTACACTCCACTGAAGTCCCTCCCCTCCCCAACCCCCACCTTCCTCAGGCCCCACCCCCAAATCTCCAGGTATTTCCCAACCAGGAGCTGGCGACCCTAGTCCGGGTTCACCAACTGGGCTTGAGATGATGGCATGGAGGAGAAAGCACAAGTGCTTCCTCTCCCCAGGCTGTTGTCCCGAGCCCAATCAGGCTCTTGAGGACCAGGGCTATTTTGGGGCAGGAACGCACAGGAACGGAGTTCCGGCTGGCTCCCAAGTTGGCCACGCTCAGCAGGAACTCATTAGCATAATAGGCCACACCCAACAGCAGAAACTCATTAGGATTGGCTACATTAGGGGTGTGTGGCCTAACATGCAAAGGGGTTCCTGCTACAAAAAAAGCCCTGGGTTTTGACAACAAACAAGGTAAACAGAATAAGAAGCAAAAGGTGGGTGTGGCTGGATGGCCACATTTCTGGTAACATGGGGGTGTGGCCTAATATGTTAATGTGCTGTGCTGTCAGGGGTGTGGCCTAATATGCTAATGAGTTCCTGCTGTTGGGTATGGCCTATTATGCCAATGAGTTCCTGCTGGGCTTTTTCTACAAAAAAAGCCCTGTTGAGGACTTTAAAAAATGCCTCTCCCCACAGCAGGTGTGTGACTGCAGGTAAAGCTGAAAAACCTGGGCACCCAATTCATCAAAAAATGTACCCTGTAGTTTCGCACAGAAGAGGCTGATGAGGTGCAAAAAGCAAACTGCAAAATCTCTGTGATGCTGGAGCTGCTCACATCTCTGGTTCTGCAGTGGGGTCAATGCCTCCTCTAGTGGGAAAAAGGAGCAGGGGAATAGTGTTCATCATCTGAAGCAGAGAAAAAGATGAAAACATAAGAGACGTATCTGCCACTAATGGTAGTGATGGGAATACAGACTTGGAGTCCTGTAAAGTGCCTCGCCTTCACTGCCATCTACTACTCCAGTGATGATCTGTTGGAAGACTCTGTGAACACACTCTAGTTATCACAGGGAAACAAGCCATTTCTATGGCCATGAGAAACAATGTATGCTGCGTGATAATGTTTTTTTTTAAATGGGGTGTGTCCATCTTGGTGCCAAGGTAGAATATCTCTCAAATTTGCCATTAAAAAGTATAATGGAATGCACAGATAGATCACGAAAGAAAAGACAGTTGTAGGCCTGTGTTGGGCCAGCGCATAAGAGGCTTAGAATGGGGTGCACCAAAAGGGACAGTTCAGCATGGTGTCATGAAACCCAGTGGCACCACTGCGGCCAGATAAGACCCCACAGGTGTTTACAATTGGGATAGAGGGATCGAAGTTTATTTGCCCACCTGGCTGCATCATCATAGCCTTCTGTTCCTCACAAAGATAGCAATACTCCCTCAAGCAGCAGCAAAGGAGACATCATCTCAGCCTAACCAACTAAAGTCTTCCCTTTGTGTAGTACGTGATGCAACCTTCTGTATTATATTTATGTCATCTGACATACCTCCCCATCTGCCGTTGCCATGCCTCCATCCTGTGGCTTTGCCTTTGCCTACCCTACCTGTCCCTTGCCTTGCTCTGTATTGAAGTGTTGGCTGTTATAATGAGACCCACCTTCCTGCCTTCATTTCAAGACATAATGGTAAAAAAGTCCCACCTGTAGTAATGGATGTGCTGTGTTCTGTTAGCACCAAAATCTGGCTTCAGAGAATACCCGTGCTGGTCTGTGGTAGAATAGATAGAATTGAATCCAGTAGTACCTTAGAGACCAACAAAATCTTGATATCTGCATCAATGAGACCTGTCGGGGAAATTAGGAGTGCAGGAACCTTTTAATGGGCTCCCATCCTCACTGTGTTCATAGGGATGGGAGAGAAACTGGCAGGGACCCCAATTGCAGAGAGAGAGAGAGAGAGAGAGAGAGAGAGAGAGAGAGAGAGAGAGAGAGAGAGAGAGGTTCTAAACCAAAACTCAATTTATTCGATTACACGCTCCTAAATCAGAAAACACTTTCAATACTCAACGTAGAATATTTCAACACAACCCCAATACATAAATAGTGCACTTAAAGTTCTATAAAGGATATCCTTGGTTTGTCTGTCAAGACTCATAACAGAGGCTGGGTGGCCAGAACAACCAGGAACAAAACTCAATTCAGACATTAAGAACCCTTTTCCAACCACAGGAGCAAATGTAACTGTCAGTCAAGTCTGTGACAAACGTTTGATGTACATCTCTGACATGAAGGACAAAACTGGG